ATCAGTTTACACGATCCGGATTTCTAACTCTCAACTGATGGCAACTTCTCACTCGACCCCAATGACTACATCCACTCAGGTTGTCAAAATATTAGTCACTATTACTAATGACAGTGTTTTTCAAGATTACCCTCATGTGGCTAATCAGACTGCGTAATCCTATCTTTGTCTTATGGAACACGTTTAATTTTAGTTGTAGTTCTATACAGTGTGCATGAGGATTACCTCTCCAAGAGGGTTTAAAATGGCTAGTTAGTTTCAAGGTTTTTTGTCAAGGGATCAAGGAACCAATTGCTAATTACATTGTAGTAACTAGTGCAGAGTAGTGCAATTGTCCTAGAAGGTAACAAAGCAAAACCAAACCAATCTTGTTTTTTTTTTTTTATTCGTAATGGGAGATTGTTCCTTTTTGTACCTTATTCACAGCACTGAGTGCCTCTGGCAACACAGGACTTGGAACACCTGTAAAGTTCAGTGTAAGTTATATTTACTTTGTAGCTGATTAACTCTTGAAGCAATGAAGTTTATTGGTATTGAGTGAATGACTCCTTTCCACAGGTTGTTCAAGGAACTGATTCCATGGTTAAAAATGGCATTACGACCAATATTAGCGTCAGGCATCAATGCATCACTGTCATGACAAATTATGATAAGAAATGTTTAGAGGTAGGTTATCAAATGTTGTGCACATAATTATTTTGAGATCATCATGCACCGTACAGATTTTAACTCATTTGAATATAGGAATGAAAAGGCACTGCTGCATTTATTTCATAGTCTTTTGTGCCTAGTAATTGACCACTTTCAAAAATGGCTGCCGGATTAATATTCTTTTGTTTAGATTTAAATTAGCCTTTCTGGCCTCACTTGAGATAATGTATTCTTTTGAATTTTGTACTGGAGAACGAGGCCAGAAAGGCTAATTTAAATTTAAACAAAAGAATATTAATACGGCAGCCATTTATGAAAGTGGTCTATACAGCGAGACAAGTGATGGCAAGGCATTGCTATGCATGAACATGTATTCATGTGAGAAATTTCCAGTGATCAAGTGTTCTTCAGCTAGATGTGGTAATAATAGTCTACAAACAACAAATATATATGAAATACATATATGGTATACAATAGTCTACAAGCCCTACACTCTTTTTGAAATAAGTAAGATAATAGCCTCTCACCAGCACAAGAAATTTCTTGTTTGTCTTTTCAATGTCCTATGCTAAGTTCATGCACAATTTTTAAGAGGTTATTGCCTGGGATAATTTAATGTGGCTAAATACATTGTGTACAGTTAAGGCTTACATGTAGCTCGAGACAATGCTGATCAGCAGTTTGTTTGGTTTCCCTGATGGTTTGCTGGTAGATAATTCTACTCCTGGGTGTCTACAGTAACAATAAGACATAATTTGTTGGCCCAAAACAAGGGGCAATGAAACTTTTGAGTCTCCATTTAGAGCTCAACATACTATAAATAAAACCAGGGCTTGACACTAATGGTAGCCCACTAGCCACAGACTGGTAGAAATTCAGTTTTGGCTAGTGGTTTTCGTTTTCCACTGGCTAGTTTGGCCAGTAAATGAACTGACATTGTCATAGCATCTAAGATGTCACCAGCCACTTGGCTAGTAAGTTGAAAAGTTCAGTGTCGAGCCCTGAAAACCACATGGTATTACACAGCCATTGGACAAAAACTTAAGGCTTTCCTTATTACCATAAATCCTCTAATAAGCCCCTCCCCCTCTTTAGAGAAAGAAATTTATGAAGCCCCCCTCTATTAAGCCCCCCCTCGCCCTTAAAAAACAGAAATTCAAAATGACACGCCATGTCAGTAAATACAATAAATTTATTCAAGTGCTGTAATTTTAGTTTGTCATGTAAAATTGAATATGGTGAGTGATTGATTAATGTTATCATGTTGGCATCAATAGAATATGTTATACTGAAATTACAGAGCAGTGCTAAAAATACAAAATGGCTAAACAAGGTCCATTGAGAGAGTTAGATCATAAAATTGAGTTCTGTATTG